TAATTGGGACAGAACCTACTGCCACTATTAGAAGTGTATTGTCGATCCACCATGTCAAGGAGTGTGGCTCCCTGGAACAGGGGGAGAAGTTTTTCTAGAAAGGCAGACATGGAAGGGCAGGGGTGAAGAGAACAGGAATAAAAAAGACTGTCATAAAAACTGCAAACCTCAAATTTAGAGGTCATCGTGTCTACTCTCTACCTGAATCCCAGAAATTCCTTCTCTCCCCTTCTTTTTAGAATAGAATATAAAATAAAACACAATAATTATTACTATTTAATGAGCAGTTCACTAAGTGCAAGATACTATGCTGAGGGGGAGGGTATGGCTCAGTGGTAGAGCGCATGCCTAGCATGCACGAGGTCCTGGGTTCAATCCCCAGTACTGACATTTAAAAATAAATAAATAAATCTAATTACCTCCCCTCACAACAAAATTTTTAAAAATAAATAAAAATAAATTTTTAAAAAGTTGCAGGATAGAAAATAACATTTGTTTTTAAAAAAAGATACTATGCTAGATTCTTTCCATGTATTTTCTCATTAAATCCTAAGAATGATCCTTATGAGATCAGTGATATAATCTTTATTTTATAAATGAGTGGCATGTGCTACTAAAAAATCCCTCAAGTCTTCTTTGGCATTCATTCATTCCCTCACTCATACATTCATTCATTTAGTGAATAGGTACTGGATACCAAATATATCAAAACAATCACCTTCAGTGACAGGGAACTCAGTGCCCCAAAAGGCAACCTACTGGACTTTTGGACAATTCTATTTCTTAGAAATTTCTTCCTTCTATTGATCTGAAATAGATCTCTGGGTAACTAAGCAAGGCCACTGTGGTGTCTACGTGCCCCTTAGAACAAAACGAGATAAGAGGAAATGGTGACTGGAAGAAGTTAATAGGGGACAACCAACATTTTCTGTTTCTGATTTCAGCTCAGTGCAGTTTTTGTGCTTAGCAACTTGTATGGTTTTCATGTAAATCTTTAGTCTTTGGGGAGGATAGACAGTTAAATCCCATTAACCCAGAAAGGGTGATGTAGTTTCAAATGGTTATGAAAAGCCCTTGATACTTTGGAGGTACTGTCAGAGGACAATCAAGTTGCCACCCACATAAAAGTGAGTCTACGTGATGCCAGCACATAAATATCAGGAATAGCTGGGTACCACCAGGAAGTCCATGAATAGCAAGGCACTGAGGAGGACACATTTTAGAGTCGCCTTCATCCGATCCCTCTTGGCAGCATCTTACCAAATGGCCTTTTAAGTAGTCAGAATCCTAGCAAACTCTGTTTTCTCTACTTTAAGTGAGGAATTCAAATCTAAAAAGGAGACACTACTGGAAGCCAGGAAGCCAGGAATCCCTGCTCCAGGAAAACCCACTGGTTACTTACATCATAGAATCCTGCTGCTCACAGTTCTGCCAAGGACCAGGTATTTCAACTGGCAGCTACACTCCCCTGGAACTCCAAGATCATCCCTGTCACCAGGTTTTCCTTCTGAGCCTTTGGGAGCCTTTCGGGAAACCTGTTTTCCTCAGAGACTTTTTGGCCCTCAAATTACTACTGTTTCTATCATTATTGTATCCAAACTTCAACGTGGCCTAAGAAGTCTAGCTGTCCCCAATATAATGATTGTTTCCTATAGTAACACAAGACTTACCATTTATTGAGCACTTACTATATACAGGCACTTTACATGAAACCATTTCAGTTATTCCTCACAACAGCACTGGTTTTCGTGAATATTCCGTTTTCCAGATGACGAAACCAAGACAAGGAGATATTAACTTACTTATTTAGCTTGGCAATTGCACGGTGGAACTGGATCTCAAACCCAGATCGGACTGATTCTACCCACTATGCCTTCTTTTCAAGAAAATAATACGAATGATAGCTGGCACTGTGCCAAGGGCTATTGTAAGCACTTTATACATTTCAACTCATTTCAACTTCACAATAAGCCTATTTTACAGCTGAGGTAAAGTGAGGTTAAATAACCCAGCCCAGGTCACACAGCTCATACAAGGTGGAGATGGGTTTTAAACCCAGGGATTCTGGTGGCAGAGACCACACCACTGTTTTAAAGCAGCAGCACCATTCCACCTAGAATTAAATAAATAAGGCTAATATTTCCAAGTGAGGCATTGCCCACTTCCCTGCAGTCAACCTAATGTGCATCTAGCTTCTGTTACGGGACCCACGGAGGTGTGAAGTACACCATGTCAGCATCCCTTTGCAGGGAAAAGGTAAACACGGAAACTGATGGACAGGGAGGTTGAGGCGCTTCCCTGGGTTCCCCTAAGCAAGCTAGTAGTCAGTTCAAGGTTACGAACCCCTGGCCTCAATCCACTAGGCTGTTACATTGCTTGTAAATGATGAAAAGATGCCTTATCTTTTCAGGATGGGCTGAGACCTGGAGAAGGTCCCAGGGCCCTGGAAACACACCTGCTCTCATGCAATGGCTCAAGGTCATCAAAGGGCATAGGACAGTCCATTAGGGAGACAATCATAGCCAAAGGACACACAAGTCTCCCTTCCTCAGTACAGGGCAGACTCCAAACTGGCAGCCTCCTTCTCCCAGGAACTTGGCCTGCCAGCTCACCAGGCTGCGGTGAAGGGTGTTTATCTGCAAGATTGGAGACCAAGCACCAGTCTGCCCTGGAGATAGTACAATGGAAAGCAGAAAGGGCTGCCTGCCAAGTCAGATTACAGCAAATAGCAACAGAACATTTCCCCCGAAGGCCCGCGGAGGACCACATTTTGTGGGTCTGTTGTGGGATGAGAGTAACAGCAGTGGCCAGTAGCTGCTAAACACTCCTGGAAGATGGGCAGAGATCAATCTGCCTGGCCTGTTTAATGACACAGTTTAACCCTTCTCCTGCCTCCTGCCTGTCTCCTTTCTCTGAACTGTGAACATTGGCGTTAATTACTTACAAGCAATAACTGTAACAAGAACTATCGGGGTTCCTAACAATTGTAACCTTTTATCTCGGAAGGGTCGGACCATCTCCTCCTAGCAGCCCAGGACAATGCCTTCCAGAAGGATAGCTCAATTAGCACCAGATATGTCACTCGATGCTCCATATATTTTACACCATGTACTTCTCAGGACTGCTTTATATTGTAGGGATATCACCTCTCACTTTACTGATAAAGAAACTGAAGGTCAGAGAAATAATAAAATAACTAAATGGGAGAGACTGTACATTTCCCAGTTAGGCCTTATTGCCACTTAATCAAGGAATGGAGTTACTACAGGAAGGGAACCACTGTAGGTCTTTTTACCCCTTTGGATAAAACTCACTATTCAGTTGGGACGTTTTGACACTCTCCGTCCGATATGCATTATCCAAGAGATCAACTGCATTCTAGATGACCTGACTCTGAGTTCCAGTCTCTGTAATTTTTTCCCTTTCTTACATCTGGGGGTGAAGAGTCCACAGCTTTGTTCCTTTAATACCCAGGGACCCCGACATACAGTGATGAAATGATTGGTTTAATCATACATTAAGTTCTATGCAAAGAATTAATGAACCACAGTCAACCGGAGGGAAGGCAATCTTGCGGAGAGGTTTGTGACTTTAAAGACACAGTTTTATCCGGAAGATTCAGGATCTAAGAGATATTTTTCTCTCCTCTGCTGACAAAACTCTGAATCAAGTGAGCACACTAGTGGAGGACAAACAGCAGCCACCACCCAAACACATTGCTGGGGGAAAGAACAGACACAAAGGTCAGGTGAAGAGCAACCTCAGCCTCTGAGGAGCAAGAGAGACTGGTAACAAGTAGAGGGCAGAGTCTCAGTCGGGGAGAAGCAACTGTCGGACACAAAAATGTCAGCTTGTTTCAATTTATACTTTTGGGGAACTGACATGCACTTAGAATTTCTGGGTGGATGGAGATGAATATTCCTAGGATACGAATATTCCTAACAGATTCCCTTGCAAACTGAAATCTCAGAAAAATAGCCCATGAAGGCACCCAGAATGCAACATCTCCCACACAGGTTGATTTTTTCTCCCCCAGTTTTCCAGCTCGTCCCAGTGGGGAACTGGGTTTGGAGCGACAGTATTGGGTGGAGAGTGTGGCTATTGGGTGGTCGAGAACAGGAGTAGTAACCAGCTGCGTGGTCAGGATAAAGAAAACAAAAATGGATCCTAGAGGTAAAATTACTTAAGAAAAAAAAAGGTCCTGGCAGAACAATCTCCCTGGTATATCTGCTATGAAAAGAAAAAGAGAAAAAAAATGGAAGAGTTCAAAAACAATTACAAATCAGACCTGAGCTTATACTCTTGTAAACATTGAGGAAATAGTCTTTACTTTAACCCAAGGTCAGCAGGCAGCCTCTCCACGTCTGAATGCAAACAATCCTCATCCAGACCGCCAAGTAGTTTTAAAAAGAATGTTCGACAAAGAACAAAGGAAACAGTAGACTTTGTGAAAGAAGGAGGAACGCTGGAGTGGAGGGCTTCGGAGTAAGGGCAACAGAATTTACCTGTTGGAGGAAGAGACTTTCAGGAAAAAAAAAATTAAAGTTGTCTTACAGGTTTAGATAGAAATTGCCTCTGGTGAGATGAACACAGAAAATAAGGCAAAATAAGGCAAATAAGGCAACTCTGATTTCAGTCTGTCTCCTCACCCCCATTACACGGGCTGAGCAGGTCTGCATCTTTAAGTTTCAAAAAGTTTCCACTCCACTCCATTTCAGGGTTAAAAAAATAATAATAATCAGTTCAACTTCCCAGACAAGCAGAGGCTGGATTAATGATTAAGAGAAACAAAAAGGATTAACTATCTGGCCTGGGAGAACTTTCCTGTGCAACTAAAATGTCAAAAGCATCTCTTTCCTTTCAAAAGGGCTTCTCCCTCTGGGACAAACACCCAGGGCTCATTCGTTCGGCTTATATTTTTCACTCAAATTCCTTGTTCAGATCCGTCAGGAGCCAGCGGTCTAAATGCCCAGAGAGAAAAATGGAGAATTTCAGCTCACCTTCCCAAGTGTTGCCTGGGGCTCTCAAAGCAGCAGCAACCCAGCAGCTCTCCCGCCTTGTGGGTGAATCCAGCAGCTCCTCGGGCCACTCGAGGAGCAGTGACCAGCCTCCACCTCGGCGAACAGGTGCCTAGAGGAAGGAGGAGGGCATTGGTCGGTGGAGAGCAGGAAATGTGTGACATCACGGGCGCCTCAACAGATAAAACATTGCTGGGACCTTAGCTATTGAAACAGCCAGTAGGTCCCGCCCACCTGTCATTTACCTGAATACCTGCGAGCAGGTAGGTGGCGTCTCTGTGTGGAAAAATGAATCAGTTAGAGCAAATTGCTGGATGGAATTTACTTACTTTCCCGAGCGCAGCACGTGTCCAGCCCCGTGGACAGATCTGAATGTATATGCCTGGTTGCGTCCACAGCCCCCTCCTCCCACCCGCTCCTACTAACTGCCTACAAAAGAGTTAAAAAGATAGTTTCTTTATTTTTTTCATTTTAAAACTCTATTTTTTAATTGAAGTAAAGTTGACTTACAATATTATATTAGTTTCAGGTGTACAACATAATGGTCCAATATTTTTATAGATTATATTTCATTTAAAGTTATTACAAAAAATGACTATATTTCCCTGTTCTGTATAATGTATCTTTGTTGCTTATTTTATTTTATACATAGTAGTGTGTTTCTCTTAATCCTCTACCCTTATCTTGTCCCTCTCCCCTCCCCTCTCCCCACTGGTAAACACTAGTTTATCCTCTATGAGGCTGTTTCAGTTTTGTTATATACATTCATTTGTTTTATCTTTTAGATTCCACATATAAGTGACAACATAGGAAGTTTAAACGCAAAAACAGACGGTTGTGTAATGAGCATAAAAAGGAAGTTTGTGAAGACTGACTGCTTGGAAAAGATCTGAGATTTATCCCCAAATGCCTTTCTGAACGGCATCCCTTTGAATCCCAAGTGTGTGTCTCTGTTCCAATATAATAAATGAGAAATGGTATTTCAAACTCCTTTTTAAAAAATCGAAATATGAAGCTTGTCAGCAATTTCAGAGTCAAGTTTTCAAACACATTTTCCTTAGCCTCATCCTGTCCCAGCATTTCACCCCATACTCAGGAGTCTGTGAAACTTCAGTCACTCCCACCTGGCCCGGGGGTGTCACATGGCGGTTACAGTTCACTGCAGGCCTGCAATTAGGAGCAATTGACATGATTCAGATTCGAATGCTAGTACAGTAATAAGGTGGCGTTGCTGGCTGGGTAGGGCCAGGAAGGAGGAGTCAGGATTATTTCTGTCCCCAACTTGGTGCGTGACCCTGGGCAAGTCATTGCTTTGCTGCAGTTTTGCCAACAGGAAACGACAGGAGAGCAGCAACCCAGCCCGTACGCAGCGGCAGCTGTGAGCTATGACTGTGACGACTGACTGTTAAACCCTCTGGCATCTTTCAGAGGATTGTAAACAGCTCCCATCATTGTATTTAAGCGTCCTGCATTTCTGGGGTCCCCCTGTCCAGCATCTCTGGACAATTTACTCACTCTCTGGAATGTGCTACCTGGAGAAATCGTGGGCTCCCCCTCCCAAGAAGATGGCCTGCTTGCTCAGAAAGATCTACTATATTTTAGTAGATGGAAGAAAAAGAAATGTTGAAATTCCTATTTTCCCCCCTATTCCGTCTCCCTCTTCTCTTGTGACTGGTAATGCTTTGGTTCCACACGTTCTAAGACTGGACTTCTTAGGAGGTCTTTGAATGGGTTGGTTGGTAGGTGGGTTGGTGGTGTGGCTTCGGGAGGGGTGGAGGAAGGATAAATAGGAAGGGGAAAAGGAGGGGGAGGGGGAGAGGGAGGAGGAGGGGAGGGCAAGGATGGGAGGAGGAAGGTCCTGATTCGTTCCCTTGGCCTCGACACTGACTGGGTGCCTCCAGTCATTCAATACCTTGTAAAACAACCGGGGAGGGAAGGAGGAGAAATTCTAGTCAAGGGCTGGGGTGCAGGGCGGGTTCTGGATTCTTCACTGGCAAAAGATCTGGCTCCTCTCCGCAGCCGCCCAGGACTGCTCTAGACTACCTTCCCCACCTGGGAACTGGGTGCACTTTGGACAGAGCTGGAAGCTTAAAAAAAAAAAATCCCCACTCACGTTTCTACCCAATAGAAACGATGGTGGGTGTGGCTACTCCTTTATAATTAACAATGAAAACAAAAGATAAAGGCAGCAAAACCTTTTACTTGCGGGTGTTGCAAGAATAAGTACAGCCCACCAGCTTATACTCAATTGAGAAACATCGGCGAAACAAAGGCTTTTCCTGCACGGGACTGGGTGTCCCCGGGACAGGGACCGGAGGAGGGGCACGGCGAGCCGCCAGCCCGATGAATCGCCTAGAAAGCCTGCCTCCGGCGGTCGTGGCGGCCTGCCTGCCCGAGTGTGTCAGTCACCTTTGAAGGGCAGCAGGTCCCACCTGGGGGGGGGGGGGTGCGGACCTCGGGTCACAGCGGCGGCGGGGGAGGGGAGGAGGGTAATGCGGCTTGCAGGAAGTGACAACGCAGAAAGCTTTACCCAAAGCCCTGGAGGCTACGGGGCTTCACTTGCTATTTTCACAGACTTGCAGCTTTCTGCTCCTCTGGTTTGATGAGTAAAACTGAGAACAAAAGTTCACCCAGGAGTGGAGCTCACTCTCAGGAATGGTGTATAAAAGGAAAGAAAACATTAGATGTTTTTGATACAGTAGGCCATTCGACTAAGGATTCCTGGATTTACAATCATCTTTAAAGTTTAAAAAAATGAATACAGGCTTCATTACTCCCTGAGAGCTGTTGCATTATTATGGAAATACTACTTCTAAAGTACTGGTGCAAAGATATATATAATAACATTAAAAAAACCAGCACTGAATAGGTGCTTAGCTGGTGCTAATTATTGCAAGCACTTTTTACAAAAGCTGTATAAGCCCGGTTCTCGTCTATTTGAATATACAGCTGGGAAACCAAGGCACAGAGAGGCTGACTACTTGCTTAAGGACAGCACAGCCAGTAAGTGGCAGGGCCTGGGTAGTTTCAGCCCCTGGGGAAAAAGGGGGAAAGTTCTGACTTCACGCTCCCTGGGCAACTTCCTGGACACTAATCAAACTTCTTGCCTCTCTATTCAGAAGGAAATGCCTGTAGAAGTAGCCCTGGGAAGGAATGTCTCCAATTGTAAATGAATTAGTAATCTGATTTATACACTATGTAGGTATAGAACATATATACATATGGATACACTTATACATATATTGATGAGAAAACTCACCAAGAAATCCATCACTCCTGGAGGCATCCATGAAATCATCTTTTTGATAGATCCCAAAGAAGGGAAGGCCAACTTGAGGGACCCCTCCAGAATGGTCAGTTCTAACTGTCTGTGCTATCTTTTATGGTTATTTCTCTCTATAGCTTTAACAGTCTATCCCTTTAAAATCTGAAAAAAATCTATGAGAAGGGCCATAAGAACATAGAACGACATATAATTGGATAATATGAGACAGTGTAAAATTAAGTTCCATACAAACTACTGCTTTAACTGCTTTAGACCAGGGTTGGTAAATACCAGACACACACTGTTCCATTCCCTCCTCCCATACTGTTCTCATTGTCATTGCTAGAAGGTGGTGCCCTGGAGCTCAGACATAACCTTGGAATCTTCAAGACACAAGTTCAAGCACAGCAGCAATTTCTATTCCTGGTCTGAAAGTAAGTGGGAGGGATAATCAGGAAAGGAAAAGATTGCTGTTGGCTGGTGTCATTAGGCAAGATTTCATGGAGAATGGAACATGAATGGGACCTTGAAGGATTTGGAGATATAGTTGATAAAGACAATCATATGCAGGCAGGACAAGCAGATGGAGGCAGGGATGATCACAGCCTGTGTGAGCTGGGGAGGAAGGTGTGTAGTGGGGGAGGAGGAGGAAGACACAGCAATGAAATGTTCACCCCGCTGGACTGAAGAGGACTCATCCTATACTAAGTTTGGATGAGTAATGGTCTTCCCATCACTGCTGGCTACTTCTCTTCTTATGAGTAAACAAGAAGGAGGGAGAGATGGAAGGAAGGAAGGAAGGGAAAGGAGGGAAGGAAGAAAGAAAGAGGGGAGGAAGGAGAAAGAGAAAGAAATCCAGTATCCTGGGCATGGGTAATTTATTAAGAGTGACAATATTTTCAGTGTTGAGTTAAACTTCCATGATATGCCATTTCAGCTACCATATGACTGCAAGCTTCCTTTGCAGTCAACGTATCCTGTAAACTTTGTTCTTTGGAGAGACGGGTGGAACGCATTAGAGAAAGCTCTCTGAACTCAAGGCTGGGCCTGTCCTAGTTACCCAGCCAGCTCACTTGGACTTTTTGATTCGTCTGAATTCTTTTATGCATCTTGACAGGAAAATCTAGAGGGGAAAAGGAGGTCTGTTTTCAAAGCTCTTTCCTTCTAGATCACCACAATAAAGGTTGGCATTCTCAAGGATTCTTCTTGGCAATGAATCATTGCTAAGACCGTAAGTACCCGGAGACTCGTCGGAATTACTTTGCCCCTGTTTGCTTCCCCTTTTTTTTGTAGCATATTGGTAGAGTTGTCTCATATGACCGAATGCCACAACAAAAGTGAACATATTCCATCTGATTTTAATAAAAGGCATCTCTTTAGCGGAAAGTATTTAGCATTGTGAGATGGAATTGCTGTACACATTCCATCAGGTTGGCCACAGTTATTTTTTTCCCCCTTTAATTAGCTTAGTTACAAATCTTTCACTGGCTAATTACGAGTGCTTAGCATGGTGCTAGTAAGCAGAACCCAGAAGGGCAATTATGGTAAATAACAGAAATAACCACAAATATCAGCATTTGAGACAGAGGACATCTGGTTCTGTGTATGTGGAAGAGATTGCATCTCCCTGACAAACTCACAGCCTTTGTGTTGTCTGGTTTGCAGATGAGCTTCTAGGATATTCTATGGATCTACAGTTAGAGAGCAGACACTTCTCTGGGTTACGTGCTTCTGGGAGTCATTAAAGATGGCATGCATTTTGTGAAGGTTTCCTACACAGATCTGTGGCCAGCACACTCTTCTTTAGTAGGAAAACAAGAAAAAAAGACCTCATTGTTACTGTCTTT